GTTTCTTCCACGGTTTTCTGCCGTGATTTCCTCCTGTCATGGTTTCTTGTGATGGATTTCTACGATGGTTTCCTGCCATGTTTTCCTGCCATGGTTTTTTGCCATCAAGAAACCATGTGAAATCATCTCGATGTCGTTGATCTTCTCCTTTTGCTTGCATAATGTCTTCGTCTTGCCGTTTATCTTCTCCTTGCGCTTGTATGATATCTTCGTCTTGCCGTTTGTCTTCTCCTTGTGCTTGTGTAATACTTTCATCTTGCCTAATATCTTCGTCTTGCCTTTTGTCTTCTCCTTGCGCTTGTGTAATATCTTCCTCTTGCCGTTTATCTTCTCCTTGCGCTTGTATGATATTTTCGTCTTGCCTTTTATCTTCTCCTTTTGCTTGCATGGTGTCTTCCTCTTGCCATCTACCTTCTTCTTGCGCTTGCATGATATCTCCCTCTTGCCGTTTATCTTCTCCTTGGGCTTGCATGAAGTTTTTCCTCCCGTGCGACAGCGACACATCCAAAGCCTTGGTTGACCCGACTGAGGCGGTCTATATTCTGTTGCTGCTTTTATAATGTACCCTCTGACAGGCGGAAGTGGCGCTGTCCAATGAAATTTCTTTATGTATTTAGTCTGAAATGATTGGTTCAGTCTCCTTGCAGAGACTATTGCTATTTCCAAAACAAGAACGAGGAATCGGGGGAAAGGAATCGGGGAATGGAAACACTGGAATACTAAAAGCTGGAATCTCTAAAACCCGGAATACTAAAACTACAATTCTGTGCGGTTAATTCTGCTTTCATAGCAAATAGCAAAACAAACGTCCTAGAATTTGAAAGAGTAATTGTAGAATATTAAGCGCTGTAAGTAAATCTGAAATATTAGCGGCGAATCCAGCCTGAATATATGTTTAAATCTTGCCATACGACAATAAAACATCAGAAAATTAGAAATTACACAACTGATGCTGAACAATAAAAGACGTGAAATCTGTGCCCGTGTGTCACAACCAGCTTTGGCCCACCAAGAACAACAGCAAGAACAAGACTTCTGCCCGGAAATGCATGTATACAACTATCTATTTGACATTATTTGTATTTAATTTAGTAGTAGCTTTTATGTATAACAAAGGTGTTATATGCCATTCAAGTATAAACCAATTGCAAGCTACCTCAAGTTACTACAACTGACATCAAACTGATCAATGGAATAATGCAACACTGTATGTATCTTTATGAAACTCACTAGTAATTCATGAAGAAAACACACAAGAAACCATGAGCGTGAAAGAGTTTGTATTTATCTGATACAGAATCATTCTGATTTACACTCATAAACTTTAAGTCCAATTTTCTTACCAAATATAATTCATTTAGCTATACTTTAAATTGTTCAAGAATACGAATGTTCTCATCAAGACGTTTCACAAGACGTTTGAATTTCACAAGCCATTCGCTTCCGTGTTGTATCCGATACAACACGGCCGCTCGTCATGTTGTATAAATTAAATAGTACATATAATGAGCATTGCAGATATTGGTAAAAGTGTAGACAGCAAAAATGTGAAAACTGCAGTTACCATTGCTAGCGCGTTGCACTGTATTCCAGACTATATAGAGAGATCTTTAATACGATGTAGAACGCAACAATTTCGCCAAAACAGCCACTCGTTCAACATTTGAAAATTTGGTTAGAATTTAATACAGTTTGAGATAATATAGGTCCACTTTGGTAACGAGCCCAGTATTGTGCACTGTATATATTTGGCAACCTCTGAATAGAAATATGAAGATATGTTTAGAGACCCAGTAGTAGCCTAAAATACTGAGTAGTAAAATACCATATTATATATTAGTTGACATGCACTTGATATACTATTTACTGCACGTAGCTATTCCATGTATATACGAAGTAATCAATACTAATCATGGTCGTTTCTACGAAAGTACCATTCTTAGAATCGAAACCCAAAGATCGAAACCAATACACCAATCGAGATATACACAGCAGACACTGGCCACTA